GTACAGATTTTAACTACAATGAACCTGGTGCCTAAGTATCTCTTCAATGCCTTTTCTTTCCCACGTATTGAACTGCGTTTTTCTCGGCATATCTACTCAGCGCTACAGGAACTTACTCTCACACATGCTAGAGATATATTTTCCAGTTGTGTTTTCTCTGTCCTCTGAAAAGGGCTCTTAACACTTCTCATGACTTCTACTTATCTGAGTGTTTCAGACTTGTTTTGGCATTTGCAAGGCGTGAAGCTGTTGGGGCAGACCCTGAAAGTGTCACTTCTCCAGTGATAGCTCTGTGTGTAACGGGTGCAGTTGCTCAATTTCGCTGTTATCGCAGATGACATTTCCCTTTTTTTGCTGGGTCCAGCGTGATACCACGCAACGAGTGTATTGCAATATTCCTAACGTTTTATTGCAACTTGTTTCTTGAATTCTAATTAAGTAACAGTTTTCTTTTTAAAATCTAAATGTGCTGGAATAGGATACAGTCTTCCATTGCCAGCTTTTTTTTTAATTATTTTTTTCCCCAATGCCAGAGTGAGATGTCTGGCTTTTAAAGTGGAAGTAAAGTTGATTTTGGTGTTGGAAAAATAAATGATATTTGTGTTAAGGTAAATACATTTACAGTCACTATTCACTGCATAAAAGCCAAGACAGACACCTACCACAAGTCCTTATATTCCCCATTATGCATTAGTGTTAAACCTTTTATTGTTTGTGGGTTTTTTTCAGCATTGTCAAAATCTTTGCMCATAATATTTAGGTTTGTAGGCCAAGTCTTCTAATGATAAGAAAATATATRACAATTGAATGTAGCCTGTAGAATTTCTTGCAAAAGATGGAGAAGGAAGTTGGTACATCCCACTCCCCAAGAGAGACAAGAGCCTCTTTGTGGCCRCTGTAGGCCACTGCAACGATATACATGAAAAAGGCCTATTTAATTATTTAGTCTTTTCCTTGAATAAGATGTGCTCAAAATGTTTAACAGAACCTCTGAGTTGTTACGGTTGCTTTTGGCTGTTAGGTTTTTGTCTGAACTGAGTTTTGAGTTGTGGTTCTTAAGACCCTCAGCAGCACACAGGCCACTAGAGACTGAAACCTCAGGCTGACCCAGCTGCTGTAAACTGGAGATAACCTTCACTCAGAAGAAATTCTGTGGTGGAAGATTCAGGGATTCTGTTCAGGTCTCTGGTCCCAGTATTCAGGACTTTAAAATCCTGCCCTTAAATAGTGATGAACAAGTATGTGCTCGGTTAACACTGTCCCACAGAGAAGGCATTGGTGTCAGAGAGCTCATGTGCCCYCTCCCAGTCAATGTTGTGGCTGTTTTGCTCATCAGACACTGTCTACATAGACAGTCAGCCCCTCATCCTGATCTGTAAAGTCAGTATTCTTCCTGTGCATGYTTRCTAAGAAATCAATGAAAATACCACYACATTTATGATGTCATAGCATGAACATTCCTTTTATCGTGAACCCCAAGTCTCTAAGCCAAGTTCAACACAACAGCAAAAGGGACAGTTTACATCAGTTTGGCCTGCTCTGGCAGCTCAGTGCTCAGAGAAATGAGACAATTGACTTCCCTATGTCTGACTAAAAGCTTGATCTGAGTCTTTGAAGAATTATTGTCACAGAAAAGGCTGAGTTGGAAGACACCCATGAGGATCACCGAGCCAAACTCCTGGCCCTGCACAGGACGCCCCACGAGTCACCTCATGTACATGTGAGCATTATCCAAATGCCTCTTGAACTCTGTCAGGCTGGTGCAAACTCCCTGGGATCTCATTCCAGTACCCAACCACTCTCTGGGTGGAGAACCTTTCTCTGGTATTCAGCCTAAACCTTCCCTGACTCAGCTTCATGGCCTTTTCCTTGAGTCCTGCCACTGGTCACAAGAGTGACAAGAGCAGTGCCTGCTCCTCTGCTTCCCCTTGTGAGGATGTTGAAGACCATGAGGATGTCTCCCCTCAATCTCCTCCAGGCTGAACAGACCAAGTGATCTCAGCTGCAGTTCATAAGGCTTCCCCTCCAGACTCTTCACCAACCTCATGGCCCTCCTTTGGTCACTCTCTGACAGCATAATGGTGTTTTTTTTTATGTTGTGGCACCCAAAAGTGCCTCCAGCACTCGAGGTGAGGCTGCCCCAGAGCAGAACAGGACAATCCCCTCCCTTGCCCGGCTGGTGATGCTGTGCCTGATGCCCCCCAGGACAGGGCTGTCTCTCCTGGCTGCCAGGGCATGTAAAAATAAAATCTGCATTCTCCATCTTCACCTCAGTTTGCAATGTAGTAACTTCTCAGAGTTCTTCCCAAGTGACTGAAATGGAAAGGAGCATTGATCCCTATGGCATGTGTTCCCCTACACTTGTCTCTGCATATGGGARAGCTGGGCACACAGCCCAGGTAATTGCCACAATGGTTTTACCAGACTTTTGGTATAATTCCTAGAGAACAAAGAGTGTRTATGTGTCCATGTATGGAGCTGCAGGTGATTACATCCCAGCTTTTTACACCCTCCTAAGTGCATCTGTAGCCAGATGGATTCTCTGGATTAATTCCAGAGAAATCTTCCAGTAGTTTCAAGTATTCAGTCTTACATTCTGTGGATCTAGTAAATAACTGGGGTTTTTTTTTTCCTTATGCTGAATTCTGATAACAATTTATTTTGTTTTATAACACCCCAGCAAAGTTGCTCTCATGTGACATTTCATACATAATTCTGGATGTTTTGAATTCATAGACCTACTTCTTGTGGAACATGTTTTTAACCTATTTAGGTAATCTCCTCTCAGARAAGCATTAACATCAGCTTTAATAAGGATGTTGCTCAACTACATGGTGTTGATTCTGCTGTGCTAGATGGGTGCATTTGCCCCTATCAGGCCTTGTGCTTCATGCCAGTGTTGAAAGGGAGGGACAGGCTCTTTACCATCAGAGCCTTTACAGCAGAAGCCAAGTGATGGAGTAGAAATCTTTGCAGCAGCTAATGCAAGTGTTAAGTTTGGTCTTTTAGAGCAGGCAGGTACTGTCAGTCACAAACATACAAATGTCAAGAACTTGTTGCCTGGTTTTAGACTGTAATCTTCCTACTTTATTATCTGACTGATTTCTCACCATGACATTCGTTTGTCACCCTGACTGTGACCACTAGTAACACTTTTATCACCTCCCTAACAGATACCCTTGTTCTAGTTTCACTTTCATACTTCTTGTGACATAGGAGATTCTACAACTGGTGCTGTATTTAAGTACTCTCTCACAATCTGTGCATAAGTGATTTCAGTTATTACTAATATCACTAATATCACTAAGAGCATTAGCTATAGAACAAATAGAAAAAAAAACCAAACAACCTTTGTTAACTTTGGTCAAAATTTTGCTCTGTGCTTTAAAAAAAAAAGTCATTACAGGTGTTTGCGTAGACAGAAAGGAGAAAAAGAGAATGAATCTACAGTGGCCAGATCTGGCATTTTCTGAGCCAAAACTCACAAGCTGAGCACATATCTGGAACCCATTTTCTAAAAATCACATTTTTAACACTTTCACACCCTCAAACCAGTTCTCCTTTATGTCAGATGCACAGGTACAATACCAGTGGAATCACTGTATAAATACCAGGCTGGATCACATATCTTACTAAGATCTTACTACAAATCCTTTGGAAGGGCTCTGAAATAGCTGCATTAGGKCTGCTGAGACCATGGAGCTGGACACACCATGGGAGAGTGACTCACGAAGTCCCCCTAAGCAGGTCTGTAATGCACACATGCTTTCATGTCTTGTCTCTCATTATACCTCTTTGCAAGTGATAGAAGCAGATACAGATCTAAATCAATCTATCTATCTATCTATATCTATCTATCTATCTGTCTATCTATCTATCTATCTATCTATCTATCTATCTATCTATCTATCTATCTATCTATCTACCTATCTACCTATCTACCTATTTATCTACCTACCTATCTGTCCTTAGGGGTGGGAGGTCAATTATGCCTCAACACAGAGAGATCTTATGTTCTGGATACTGAAAGAATAAAAAAATAAAAAGTAAAAATCTTTTTTCCCCTGGACATTGAGCCACTCACTCACAGATTCAACTAGCTAAATGTGTGACAAGAAGTGGTATGAAGCTGCAACTCACTTTTTTTCACAATCCATCCCCTAGATTCAAGCTGCCAACTCTCCTTCTCCAAACACTTACCCAAACTGCCCCTCAAATGCTGGCACTCTGCCTATGCACAGCAGTCTCCCACAGAAAGGGATGGGTCCCAGTTTTCTCTTTTGACCCATACCATCCACCTACTTAGTGTTTTATCTCTATACCATCTGGAGTATAGAAAATAAATGCCAGTTCCTTTTAAAACCAGGGGAGGTATCATT